AAAAAAAAAAAAAAGAAAGAAAGAAGAAAAGCAGCAAAGGAAGTTTCCCGTGTGCATCTGTATGTCCTTGCGTGCACGTTTATAAACATCTCCCCGTTCTTGTTTGCCTGTTACCGCCCTCCTGCCTCACACTCAAGGCTGAGGCATCCAGGGATCGCCCCCAGAGAGCTGTGTTTACTTAGTTTTTAAAAATCTCTCCGCCATGTGCAAGGGTTACTTCCAGAAATCCATCAACCTTCTCCGGGTACTTCAGTTCTGCCGTGGTGATCTGCAGGAGAGAGCCGCCATCACTTCCTCACACCCCAAGGTGTTGCAGTCACTAGGGGAAGGGGCGGGGGGCGGGAGCGCTTAATTACAGCTGGGGCGGGAGGGGCGCGGGCGGGACCGAGGGAGGGGAGCAGGGAGGTCCCTCGCCTGTCCTGTACCTGCAGAGAGCTGGGCGAATCCGCTGGGCGAATGTTTGGGAAAGGTATGGTAACCGCCTTTTAAAAATTATTTAAATGCCTTTGGGGAGAAGTGATACTCTTGTGTAACAATTAGCCCAGACAATAAAAATAATTGGAAAAATCAGTTGGAATTTCTGAGTTTTTAATTACGTTCAATTTGGTGCTAAGCCGTAAAATTACAAATGCCCCTCAATTAAACACTCTCCTCTAGTAAAGCATTTGAGAACAATTATTCCTTAATCAGTATGAATGTGAGTCACAAATGATGCTTTTCCACATCAAAGGGACGTCCTTCGACGTTACCTTTTAGTCATAAGTAAGAGGATTAATTCCTATAATTAGGGGGATAAATATGTGCATAAATACATCTCAGACTCTCTCCTTTAACACACACACACACACACACACCACTGTCACTCTGGGTGAGACGAGGCCGGCAGCGGTGGGGTGAGGGGTTGTAATTGTCCGTCTTTGCCCGACACCCCCTTGCTGGCGGACGGCTGGAACCGAGGAGACGCGGGCACGAAGCGCAGACCCGCAGGGGGACACACAGGCGCACACGTGTACACAGGAACGCACACGGGACAGGCAGGAGGTACAGAGCTCGGGGTCCCAAGACCCCCGCCAATTCCAATGGGATCCTCCCGAGACAATAGCCCACCCCCCGCCCTTGCTCCTTGCTCCTGTCCCGCGCCGCGCGAGCGCGCTCTCCCCGTCGGTCCGCCAGCCCAGAAGAGCGGGTCCCTGCCCGGAGCCCAAGCTTTTCAGGTCGACTCTCCAGGCTACAAGTAAAAATGGAGCATGACCTTTTAAAGCTCCGGCGTGAAGATCTCATTTACCTAATGACTTTATGTCACCTAGGAAGAAGGTCAATTTCCTCTTAACCTTTCCCCCGCTGCTGCAGTAAGCATTCTTCCCTAATCAATGGTGGCTGGAATAATCAATTCCCATTTTATGATCGCTGACAAACTCCGTCTCTGGGCGGGGTGGCAGCGCTCGGGGCCCGCGCGGGCCGGGACAGAGGTCTCTCGGGGTCCGCCCGGCTCCGCCCGGCGCCAGGGGAGGCTGCGCTCTCTTCCGTGGAGTTCAGAGACCTGGGCCAACTTCCCCACCCCCAGCCGCCGGCGTGACTTGGGAGTCGTCACTAATCCGAACCTGAGACTCACCAGAGCTCCCTCAGTCACCGACAGCGCCCCCCGCTGCTGCCGCACCCCCACCAGCCCCTCCTCGGCGTGTTTTCATTTCAAAGTCTGCTGGCAGGGGTTGCCCCGACCCGAAGGCCCGAAGGGGTGTGTGTGTGTGTGTGTGAGAGAGAGAGAGAGAGAGAGAGAGTTTCATTTACACTTTAAAAATTATTTTTGCCTTTTTCCAGCATGGATCTCAGAGTTCCTTCACTCGGTCTCAGCCAGGCTAACTTTGCATAAACAAAGCAACAACAGAAGCTCAGAGAGGGTGGATTCATGAAAGTTAACTGACAGAGTCAGTCTCTCTCTCTCTCTCTCTCTCTCTCTCTCCTTTCCGTTTTCCCCTTTCTCTTTCACTTTACCCCCTTCTTACCTTTCTCCTCCTCCACTCCCCCCCACCAATACCCATCTATCCTAAAAGGTAGGTTTCTTAGATGCCCTTATAAGTCCCCCAGTTTGGGGAAATTACTAGGAAAACTGTTAAGTCAAAACTAATTTGGAGGTGAATTTGATGTAAATTCACCATTTTTTAAAAAATTTCTAGATGGTCTAAATACGAGCCCCTTTCACCTTCCAATCTCTCATAAAGCAGTAGACTGTCACACACAGGGCTTCCTTGAGGAGAGGGATCTCTTAGCAACTGGTTTACCTTGGGGCACTGGGATTTCTTTCCCCTCAGTCCACCCTAACCCCATTTTCACTCACTACCAAGACACAGTGAAGCTGCTGCTGAGTATCCAACAATCTAAAAGCTGCTTAGCAAGGACTTAATGGTAGGAAAATCACTTTTCTTGGAAAAGGTGCCATACCCAGGGTTTTTGGAGATTTCTTATGACTAACTAGCTAGTTAAAAGCAAGCCCCAAACTGAACTTTTTCTCCTGAGAGTGCTCTTTCAGGCCATGAAGATAGTCTTTGAAAAGGTATTAAAGTGCCCCTTCTCTTAACTCATAGTGCCTTCTTACTCATGGGCAGACATTCTGCTAAAATTGGGAAGTTTGTCAAATAATCAAAACAAAAATGTAACTATTCTACCTTAAAAGGTGGAATAAAGGATAAATCACCTATTGGGGCATAAAAATACAAACAAAAAAGGCATTTGAGTTCAAGGTGAGGCATATCTGGGCCAAACACTCACTGTTGACCCACCACAGCCTCTCAAGCCCTGATATTAACAGAGACAGCTGACCAAGTCACCACTCCCGCCTGTCTGAACAGGAAGCTCCATTCTGGCCTTGGTCCTAAAGGTGCCTGAGTTGTGACCTCTGAGAGGCAGTGAGAACAGGCGAGGTGCAGGACCTGACCTGTGATGGGTGGGGCCAAGTTCCCAGTATTGTCACTTCTCCTCTTGCTTCATACCAGGAAGTACATTTGCAAGCCTCATTGAATTGGATTCTGGAATTAAATGGCCATCGAGGGCAGATCTAGCCCTGAGCTACAGTTTATAACAGCCTGGGCTTGTAAAAGATTTATTTCATATTCCCAACACCCGAGTTACAGACTATCTGAGACCACAACTTGTTTGTAGGTCAGGAAGTACTTGTAGGGGAAGAGTTCTCCATTATTAAGTGTCCTGAGTGGGACTTTTATCTCTATTTGACGGAGGAGCAGACAGATTGGGGATGGACCCCTAGACCTTAGATAATTACTACAGTCTTCCCTCTTACACAAATTTCATTCCCACACAAGGAATAATTAACAGCCTCTGACTAACTCTACGAGAATTTCCTTTCCTTTTCTTATCTTAAGGGCCCCCACAAGGATTTTGAAGGATATGTTTAATACTAGTGTTTAGTTTCACTTCATTTAAACATCTTGCATTCTGCTCACTTCTTCCACAGCCTACTGAAACACAATATTGTCTTGGGCTGTGTTTTAATTCTAGCACATGAAACAGGAAAATCCAATCATCAGTTTACTCAGTGTTCACTCCCCACACTACACACTAGGTTACTCTTTGGAAAAGAAAAAAAAATTAATTGTGCTTAATTTAGAGAGCATGTCAAAAGACAATTTTTTTTTTGGTAATAAAAAATGCTATTCTTTCCCTGTGACTGTCTAACAACTCTGTCCCTACCAGTGGCTCAATCAGGGTTAGAAATCAAAATTACATGTCAGGATATATAGTAAACCGTAAGCATAGGAACAGGAAGAGGGACCACACAGACCACTAGCTGAGGTCTCTGTAAGGCTCATGCCCTAAAAGGAAAGACATCTCTTTCAAGCATCTCTAAGGGAGAGGGTTAAATTGGATCACTTCTGAGGCTGTTTCTAACCCCAGACGGACAAAAAGGGATTCTGGTCAGTCAGAAGCCCAGGCTCTGGACTCCGACAGAGAGGGGCTGAATCCTGGACCTGTCCTGTGCCAATTGTGTAATCTTAAATCAGGCACGTCACCTCTCTGAACCTCGGTAATCTCATGTATAAAATTAGGAGAACTATACTTAATGTAACTGGGTATCTTCTGTTGGCTCTTCCAGATCCACTCGTCACTTATTCCCATCCTGCTCTGTGGTCCTGGATGCTGGTCTGGATGGTTTCAGAATGCTACCTTGGTCCTTGCTTCCTGTCAGGTTTTCATTAAATGGGTAGAGTGAGGTATTAATTCCAGGGTCTCCATGGGCTGGCTGCACCCCACCACAGCTCCCTCTGGGTTCAGGTAACCACTTTCCTCTCCATTACTAATGTACTGCCCCTTGTTGTCTCCTAACACCACGCTCGCTCACACCTTTTTAACATAGTCCTTTTATGAAGCACTCTTCGAATTACCCAATTTGATATGCACCATCTGTTTCCTGCTGGACCCTGGCTGATACACCTTATATACTTGTTTGGAGGATTAAAATTAAATGAGATAATGTATATAAAATACAAAGCACAGTTCCTTGTATATAGGAAAGGCCTAAGAAAACACAACGTTTATTTATTGTCTTAATTGTTATTTGCTGCAACCTCCTCATTTTATATATGAGGAAATGGAGACCCAGCAGTTAAGGTATGAATTCAAAGTCTAACTACCCCAAGATGGTAATGTCCCTGGGACCAAGTCCCTGGACTAGCAGCTCTCAGTTCACTGTTCTTTCCACAGCAGCTTGTTGAGCAAAACAGTTGGGGGCGGAGGGAGATCCTTTAGTCATACATGCTGGAGAAGGGCTTCGATGAGTTAGAGGCAGAGGCGCAGGAGATAATAAGCATCTTTCCATAGAGCATTGGATTTGTCTCTGCTAAATGATTGCTGAAATAAAGCATGCTGTTGCAATTTGGAATCCAGTGATTTCACTAAGAATAGAATAGGTATGTTACAGGAGAAGCAATGTGTACTTGACAGGTTAAAAACAAATTTATGAACACATAATTGGAAGTTTTGCCAGGAGGCATCGTAATGTTTCTAAGACATATAGGGAATTTTCAAATAAAGACTGATTTTTGCATTAGCAGTGCAGATTAAGTATGAACTTTCTAATTCTTTAGGATATGCTGCTGTACTCCGAACTCATACAGAACCTAAACACCAAAGTCCTGCCCAAGAAATCTGCAACTTGATAATACCAGCAACATGATGGAAACCATTAATTCCCACTTTCGTTCAATCATTCAAAAAAGGTTTTATTAACCTTGTAATACTCTCCAGGAACTCTTATGGGTGCTAACATATTAATTAAATATATTCTCTGTTTCCATGGGCTCACAGAGTGAAACAGAGGTAAGTGTATCAACAGATTTTGGTATAAACAAAGGTAAAAACCTGCCTAGGTAACTATGGGCATCTTGAAGAGGTTGAGTGGAGTGGGGAGCATTGAGAGAAGAGACTTTCCTGGATTGGAACTGGGTCTTAGCAAAGAAAGATCTGTCTCAGTCCACTTACATTTGAGCCTTCCAGACCCTTCTAAATTGATGATATCAGTTTATTAAGATTTAGCTCTTACTGATATAAATATTAGCAATAAAACAAAGATAAGTCCCACACATGTAATACTGTATTACCCTTTACTGTGACAGATTGGCTGAGGTACATGTGGAAACTTAGAAAAATTTAAATAATGTTTCTTTTGGTGACTAGAGTGTGTGACAGGAAAAGAAGGGTACATTTAAAAGATGATATTGCCCCAGCTGGTTTGGCTCAGTGGATAGAGTGTCGGCCTGCGGACTAAAGGGTCCCGGGTTCAATTCCGTTCAAGAACACATGCCCAGGTTGCGGGGTCAATCCCCAGTAGGGGGCGTGCAGGAGGCAGCCAATCAATGATTCTCTCTCATCATTGATGTTTCTATCTCCCTCTCCCTCTCCCTTCCTCTCTGAAATCAATAAAAATATATTTATAAAAAATAAACTAAAAGATGATATTTTACACAGACTCCTTGGAAACTGTTACCTTCAAAGAAGATTGCTTAAATGTACTTTACCCGTTAGATCCCATTTATATAATTAGTTAGACCAGGCTTATTTGAGATGTAAACATATACTTTGAAAAATGAGTTGGGACCAATGCATGGAGAAAAAAGTAGGGCCACTTATTTCAGTACCCAGGGTGCATTTATATACAATTGGACATACTAATAAATATAACACAACTTAAACAAGTTATTTCTAACTATTCATCACAAAGTTGGCCTTTTGCATCTCAATTGTAATTGATAAATATGATACCTAAGTATAATGTACTTCACCATGGTAATGCTGATCAATATTTGTGTCTCTTTTTTGAAGTTCCAACTAAAACATTATATAACTCTGGCTTACTGTCATTCAAGTTGCTCTTGTCCAAAGACCTTGATCATCCTTATTTGGTTCATTCCTTTTTTTTTGACAACCCCACACCAAGATTCATCTCTGTTTACATTGTATGTGTGCCTGCACATATCTGCATTTCAGCCATCCACAATTATAGCTGTACTTCAAACTTCCAAGATCTCAAATGTAGATATTGTTCTTCCTCCCTCCCTCCCTCCCTCCCTCCCTCCATCCCTCCCTCCCTTTTTTCCTTTTACCTAGCATATCTTTATACTCTATTAAAACAACCATTCTTTCTTCATTATGACCCCCTTTGTTACTTGTGGTGTCTCAACCATTTTCTGCCAGTTCATTAGTCACATTTTATATACTTGTACTTCCACCCAGTTTAAAACAT